AAACATATTACCATCTATATCGATATCACCAGTAGTATCGCCATTTTTGCAGCTAACCATATATTTTGTTTTATCCACGTTTATTTCGAGTCCTAGTTCTTTACCGGCTTTCATTAACGTTGTCGTATTTAGTTTTATAGTTTCAACGTCTTCGCTTAACAGTACCAGATCATCCGCATAGCCCAGCACGGATGTTGTCCCACCCAGATCCAACCCTTTTTCGGTACGCATTACCTCCCTAATGGCATGTTCTAATGCAAAAAAAGCTAAAAGATTGCAGCTAACAAATCATAAATACTATTAAAATAACAAAAGTTCTTTTTATTATATCACCGGTTGATTATGGATTGTATGATTCGTTGATTATGGATTGTACAATACGTTGATTATGGATTGTACGACTATTAGTTATTAAACTTTTATTTTCCATTGCAAAGTTTACTAAAACGGAACAGAGAGATTCGTATTGTCTGTTATATACAGGTCAAAAGTTGTCACACTGATTGTTGGAATATCGCAAAGGGAAAATTTATCAAATTATTCACTAATTTAATTTTCTAAAAGATTAAATGATGATTTTTCGGAATAAACGGACGATAGATACCAAATTATTTAAATATAATATCAGATCTAGAGTTATTAAACTACAGTAAATATATTTAAGGTTATAAACGTATGTATGAAATATTTTTATATTTCACTTCTTCTTTCACACAAGTACAATGAAATAGTATCTTAAACAATGTCATTGCCTTGAATCCGTGGGTTTTAAATACTTTTACAAACTTTAAAAAAAATTTAAATGTTTATATTTAGTAAGAAAATTTCATTTAATTTCCTTGAAAACATGTTATTAATACATCATACATCAAATGACTTTTTTTGTTGGAAATTTTGTTTATAATCACACCCCTGTGTTTGGTCAAGTTCTGTATCTTTTTTTAGTAACATTTTTTGTTGAATAGGAAGCGATTTATAAAAAAATATTTAATTTAAGTAATTAACATTTGCAACACCGTATACTAGACAATTTTTTTTTAAGTGAAATAAGAGTTTGTCATAATTAAAACTAATTTTTTAAACAGCTAAACTAAGTTATTTTCTGTTTTAAAATAAATCATGAGTTATTTTTATCACCTTTCAATTATCCTACGAATAACCCACTTTTAGAAAAACTTTCTTGTTTGATATGCTTTAAGTCCATATATTAAGTTGAAGAGAAGTTGGTTGGGGTGTTCAGTCAAAAAAATTATAATAATTTATTATTTTTTTTTTTTTGCCAACGTTTCGGCCCAAAGTTAAGGCTTTCATCAGGGCTGATCCCACGAAAGGTTCCCGTAAGATAACGTACTATAATATGAGATAATGTAATATTACAAGAACCTTTGGTGGGATCAGCCCTGATGAAGGCTTTTGGGCAGAAACGTTGGCAAAAATAAAAATAAATATCGTTTATTTATTTTTTTGACTGAACACCCCAACCAACGTCTCTTCAATTTTCACTGCGGTCATCAACTCGGATCCGAGCATAGGAGCACTGTGCCTTACTCGCTTAACTACCCTACTTCCCTCCGTACATGATATATATAATTAACCATACATTTTTGTGTGGGATATACTTCTTTTTCGTCATTATAGGAGATGATAATCTTAAAAATTATGGCTCATTCATGATTTTGTTGAAGAATTAACATAGATATGACGTATCGACAAAATAATACCTATGCGAAATAACATATAATGATATTCAAGTATATGTGTGCATAAATTTTACAAAATAAAATTTCCTCTAAAAGAATTGCATAACAGCACAACTTCAGAAATATTAAAATAACTAGATTATCGTTTAAAAAAAAAAAGGGTTATAAAATTTGAATGATTGATTTTTGTTTAATTCATTTCAAATTATCGCTTAAATGAACGTTATTGATACTATCGTCTAATTAATAGCTGTGTTTATTAATAGATAGTTATTATGTTTTCTAGTATATTTACAAGGTTATCTTATATAATCGCTTCATAAAATGTTAGCACAGAATTCAATTTAGCACTTTGATGTTTTTAATAGTTCTTATTGAAGATTGTATCATTCGTATAGTTCATTGTTAATAATATAATAGTTCATTCATTTTTTTTTCAACTGCCTCAGCTCATCGATAGTTCATACAAGTTTAGAGACGGATTCGATGCCATCGATGAATTCAGTGCTTAACTTAGGAACCCGATCTAAATTCGATTCTGAATGGAGCCTTCAAATATGAATATATCCAATTTAATATCGTAAAAGTTGTATCATTCAATAATTAGATCTAAATAATAAACTTAATAATTTATAATGTGATAGTAAGCAGAAAAAAAACAGAATCACATAAAACTAAACAAAAAAATGTTATAATTATTATATGTTATAATATGTTTATGCAATAAGAAATGTCTTATTACATCAAAAGGGAAAAAATATATATATTTTTTTTCTTGGTGAAATAAGTACTTTTAAATACCATTTATTCTAAAGGATAAATAAATATGTCCCTTGTAATTTAAAAATAGATAGAAAACTTTGAATACATATAAATGAAAAAATACATCTGTATCGTTTTAAATATAAAATGTAGAATAATACATTATTTATCAATGAATTCACAAATTTGAAATGATGAATGAGATGAAAGATTCTATTAAAAAAATAAATTCAAAAAATTTAAATTTTTGGCAGATACGCTAAGATGTGCTCAGAACAGCTGAGGTGTAATTGAAAGTCACAGAATTGTTTAGTTTTTTCTTAAAATAATTTTCTAGAAACTAATAAATTTATATTTAAGTAGGTAATAATTATGATAAACAAAATTTCACACTTTATACATTCATTTTTTAAAAATATTTTAGAAATAAAATACCCATTATCATTCATAATAATCAAGGATTTTTTTATTTTAATCAGCTGAAATGAATCGATATTCTTTTGTTTTTTAAGCATTTTTATTAGGGTGAATTATTCCTAATTATTTAATTAAATTCATTATTTAAATAAATACTATCAAAATATAAAATTAATTAAATAATAAATATTTTGATGGATTTCATGTTTGCTATATTCATTCCTTATTAACTTTTTATTCATTAAATGTGTTGTTTTTTTTTTATCTTGGGTGGGGATATCAGCCAAAATAAATTTATGCGGATTATTTTTGAGTTATTTATAGTTTATTAGCTCCATTACAATTATTGTTAGGGAGATTTTCAAATAATACACCCATTAAATATTTATTTAAAATAATTCACATTTTTATTTATTAATAATTTTGAAATTTTTGTTTAAAATAAAAGAAAATAAACTATCTATCACTTTTGATTACCAAAAGCTCACGTTGAGACTTATTTCAGGATATTTAATTTTGGAAACTATTTTATTGAAAGTCTATAGTTTTTTATTAAATATATTTATTATGTTGCTTATGACATATTATTTTGATTTCAATAGGTAGATTAATAATTAGATTTTTATGTTTATTGAATTAAATACAATAATTACATAAAAACTTAATACCATTTCTGATGTAACATAAAACGATTCTTCCAGCTTTGTTTACAAATGTATAAATCTGATGTAAGATCGATACCTGAACAGAATAAGATAGGTTGTGCAATCGCTTTAATTTTTAAAATTCACTTAAGTCCACATCATTCTCAGAACATCATAGCAAATCTGTTTAATTTAAGATATTGAATTCTTCATTTTAATTGGGACTTCTACTATGAGATGATAAAGGTTTTGAAACTATATTTATATTATTTACTAAATGCAGATTTAAAACAATCATTTCAAGCAAATCGTACTGAATATAAAATCATATAGCATATCAAGCCAAATTTATAACAAGCAAAAAAAAAAAAAAAAATTAGGGTCATTTTTAAAAATATTTTATTTGTGAAGAACTTTAAGAAACCTACATCATTTTTAATTTACATTAATACAGTAAATTCAAAATTTGAAGTTTAATTTTCAAATAATCACTTATTTAATGCTTCAATTACATTGAATCACAGATGTACCTTATGATAAACAATGTAAATACTATTTATTCCATTTACTTACTAAATGAAAGGAGTACAATAATAATAGAGTAAGAAAATTTTGCTTTTTGTTTAGACAGTAAATGTTTTTTCAAAAGTGCTATAATGATATATATTGTAGTTTTATTGCCAAAAGTCATTAAGTAAGATTTCATAACCTTAAATCACTTAGAATTTTGATTAGACTTTTTCCTTTTTGAAACCAGAAAATTGTGTTTATTGTAGATGTAATCAATAAATGAATTTGTTTTTTATTTTAGTGCACTTAGTGTTTTTTTTTATGAATTAATATGTTACAAATTCACAAAAATATTCTTAAAATTAGTATATACATTTTGTATTGTTAGACAAAAGATTCACTTTCTAACAACCACTATATCATTCTAACCCACTTATATTTTTTATGTGAGTAAAATTGTTGTATTTTTAATAATAATTTCCGATTTAATATTATGAGGAAATAACTTTATTTCTCGAAAATATATATATATTATTGCAAGAGGTGTATCTCTCGTTTCTATAAGGAATAAATTGTCTGTTTATTTTTGTATATTGTATATATAAAGAGAGGGGACAGTATACAAAAATAGAGAGAGCATTGTCCCCCCACTCCTCCACTCATTATGCTCAATGTAATTTAGTGAATGGCCAGCTCATTCATTACCCCACTCGAGTCTCCTCTGTTATCCGCCGCATTCCGTCCAGTCTCAGGGAAGGAAGGGAATTTTATTTCAAGAAGTAGGGATTTTTTTTATTTATTTGTTTATTTTGTTGGTATGATTTGTCGAAGTTATTTTTTGTATATAGGGGAATTCGATGTGTTATATAATTTTTATAATTATATGAATGAAGGATTTTTTTTTTAATAGTTATTATTGTTATTGTTGTTTTATTTTTTGTTATAGTTGAGCGTAGTTACACGAGCCATGCAGAGTATTAGAAAGCGGAATAGGTGCCACATCCCTAGCGTTCAAAATGACAAGCTTTCCTTATCAGATAAGGGCTTGTCAAGCATGTAAACAGACCGTTCGCTATCAAGCTTCCCTATTTGTCGATAACCGTTTGGAATAAGATATTTCGGGAGGGGGCACCTGGTAGCAGTTACAATATAACCGACTCACCTGTGGTTTGCCCTCAGTCGAAGTCGGCGGATGGGGACTGGTCATCCTGAAAGACCAGCCCGGTCGAGGCACACAAATAGAACAGGCACAGATCCAGAGGATGTGACGAAACCCCGATTTACATGAGTTAGGAATACGCTCAATCGGCAAACTCTAACTGACTCTAGTAGAGGCCATATTGGTCGTGCACTGGCTCCATGTACCCTCTCATACACTGCACGGCACTGTACCCCACTCTATTCGTGCCGTGAACCGGCCGATTTACGATTTGTGAATGAAAAACAATCCTTCAACAAACGCGAAGAAAACACCAAGTCGATCCCTGCGTACAGCTTACAGCTTCGACTAACCGATTCATTGGTGGGGCTGCGCAGAGCGCATGCGCGGTCCCGCCGCGGCTCCCCACCACCTCAGCTCCATTCATACTTATTCCTCTCTACTCTTCGGTTATTTCTTTTTACTTACTTCTCCTCTTCGGCTGAGTGTGCCCGATCTATACGAAAATAAAACACCGACTTTTCTAGCCATTGACGAACGAACACAGAGAAAAGAGAGAGCGGATACCAGCCGACACAAACGACCTTGGACATGTCCCATTCATGAAAAGAGATCACGTGGTCCTTTAACTATTTCGAGGCTTGAGGCCACGTCACTGACGCAATGGAGACCGGACGCGATATATTTAGCGCCGCGACGTAGAAGAGAAAATCCTCTTTTTATCGATTTACAGAAAAAAATGATGTACTTCAATGTCATATGCTGTCTTCAGAAAATTAATAGATAGATAAATCATCTTTATTCTGGGACTAGGTCCCTTTAGAATAACAGTATTGTTCATATAAATTAACCATAAATCTGGCCAAAAGACTTATTACAATGAATAATAACAAAATACTAGTAATAAATTAAGTATTAATTATGCTCTTAGGATAAATTAACGAGAACAGGGGTTCAGTACTACAATATTGGAGCTAAAACAATAGTATAATAATCGCTAAATGAAATTAGAAATGAGCGCAAAATCAATTTTATAGGCAAAGCATTGTAGCGATGGAATATAAAAATTTAAAAAATAATAAAAACTGTCAATATGTAAAGAAAGAAATTGTAAAAAAAAAAAATTATATACATATGTTCCCTAAGATATTTAAGTGATTATGCGTAAAGATTAGGAGAAGAAAAAATAAAATAAAGTGTACATATATATACACATAGCGAGGAGTGTGTTGAAGATAATTAGAAAACAAAATACATTTCAACAAAATACAATTACATTTTTTTGTTTAAATATTTTAAAATGTAAATGATTTAGACCTTTGTGTGATACACTAAATTGTATATACCCGACCTTCGTAAACAAATTAAAACTAAGGATATAAAATAAAATTGGATTAGAAGTTTTTCTTAATTTCTAGCTTGAAAAAAAAATGAAACAAAAATGTTATTGGTGTCAGATAGAAGAGCATTAATTCAGCTTTGCGCGGTTATATTAAAGTTTAATTTAAAAAAGAAAAAAAAACCATAACAAGTTATGAATGCTTTAGTTGACGGCCGGAAAAAAAATTCATCTAAGAAAAACAAGCGACTGAAAATAATGTACTCACTTTTTTTCTAAATCGAAATTGAAAGTTCGACAAAAACTAAATACATACACTTACCTACTCAAACCCATATGGACATATGCCTCTCAGATTTACGGTTCAACAAAAAAGACGCACTTACAAAAACTACAGTCATTTCAATCCAAAATTTTACGACTTATAACAGGAGCTCCCTGGTACGTCAACAACAAAACTTTACATAACGACTTACGACAACCAACTATAGACCAACACATACGTACTCTCTACTCTCGTTTTCATCTCAAACTACACGGACACACAAACAGACTTATAAACGACATGGCTACGACTGACATGCCCATCAGGAGGAGACTAAAAAGGAGCTGGATGAGAGATCTCCTCACCTAAATCAAAGTAATGACCAGGAAGAGGTGCTGCTGGGTACTATCCTTCCTCATGCCTATAATGCCAACCTCATTATGCCAACAACACAACTGCTGATTGTCAATACTATGTGATGTGCGGATAAACATTTAAAGATAAAAAAAAAAGTGCTTAAAGTTGTATTTTTAAATTTATGTAACAATTAGTATTCAAGAGTTTTAAAGGGCCCTAAAAACGAATATAATTTGCTTTTTCATAACAAAAATATATTTGGCCTACTTTACTAGAAGCCCCTTTTGGTTTTTGTAATTTATGATACGTTATAACTCATCTAATACAATTTTTAATATTTTTTTATTATTTTTCACAAAAAAAAAAAACACAAAAATGGTTGATATATAGAAACCTAAAAACCCAGATAAAGCAAAGGCAAAAATAAATAAATAATAAGCAATAAATAAAATCTCATCTTGACAAATAAATTGAAAAAAAAACGCTGCAAATTATTTCACAATGGATTATTATTTCCAAACAATTATGCATCTAAAGTAACATTAACTTCCTAGTTACAAAAACAAAAAAATAAAAGGTGATTCTAATTATTGGACTAAACCTTTTTTTTTAATCATTAGTAATACGCTTAAAAAACAAGCATTACTTCAGTAACGCATTCAAAATTCAAAAATCAAAAGCAAGAATATAACTAAATGGTTGACTGTCGTGAATAATGAAGAGAAGAATAGTTGGGGTGATCAGTCAAATAAGAAGGCAAAAATAAATGATAATATTTATTTTGACATTTGCCGACGTTTCGACCTGAAGTTCAGGCCTTCATCAGGGCTAAGAAAAGAACCAGATAACAAGGTATGAGAAACATAAGTAGTGTAGGTAAAAAAAATTAAAGTAAAATGAAGTTGGTAGAATAATGACAATAGTAAGAACTAAGAGATAAATAATAATAACCGTTACAAAGTGTGGAATGATGAAGTAAACATAATCAAAAAAGGTGACATAAGTATTAAAATGGAATCTTAGAATAAAATGTAAAACAGAAAAAAGGAATATGAAGTTATATAAGAAATGAAAATAAATAGTAAAATTAAGATATTGCAAATAGAATAGTTATATAGAAAATTAAGATATTTTGAATAGAATAGTTAGATAGAATATTGAGATATTGTTATAACCTTTGCATCAGAACATCAAAAAAAAAAAAGAGATCCTATCTTTAGTCCTAATTGTCCTTTTTAACGATTTTTTTTTTTTTAGGAAATTCCGTAAACTTTTAAAAAAACGTATACAATATTAACAAAAAAGTGTATACTTTTTGAGTTATTCGGAATTTAATTTTAACATCCTTAGTAACTTTTTTTCCAGCTTCTTTTCGTTGAAGTATGTTATATAGATAAATTCAAAGAGCGTCGAGAAAATGACTTTAGCGAAGTTTCATTGAAATCGGTACATTCGTTTAGGCGCTACAGTCTATAGCAACGAAGGTTTTTCGGCCGCCATTTTGAAAGTAAAAGGCGGGTAGTAATGTCGATGAAAGAGGATCATCCTCGGGTGACCTCTGATTTTATATCCAAATTTGAAAAAAATCGGTCCGGTGGTTTCGGAGAAAATGCGCGGACGGCGGACAAAAGAATTTTTATTCGTTTTTCGAATTCTACGCATCCAGAAACGTGAAATGTCAAATTTTTTAGAGGGAGCTAAGTTTTTGAATTTTTTGGTCGATCACAATGGTTCATTATTGAAAAATAATAAACCAAAAATCTAGCTCTCTATTAGTGGTTCTTTAATTACAATTGATTGAATAAAGATTGTTTAAGAAAGAAATATTAGTTGGAGGCTGGATCAAGATCATATCAAGCACACTTTTGAGGTGAAGTTCCCTCCAAAATGAATTTTTTTTTTCATTCGGCCATATTTGTTTTGGTGTGTGGTCCAAGCTAAATACATAATAATCACAAAATATTTTCTTTTGAAATTATAATACATAAACAATTTCTAGCACTCATCAAGAAAGATTATAAGAAATGTGTCGTTATTTTTTTTTTTTTTTTGCTCTTCAAGGTGTCTAAGCATCAATCATATAGGTTTATTTTTCTAATATTATTTGACCATTTGATGTCCCCGGGCTTTACATTCGTTTTCCACATGTTTTTCCTTTTTTTTATTATCTCTTAATGATATTTACAACTGTATTAAATAAATACATCTAGTAAATTTGAACATAATGGATATAATGACATGAAAACACTTGCTGAGAAACTACCCAATAGTAGCACTCTAATGATATGTCTACAATTGGAGATCACGGGGATCTTCTTTTCAGACGCCTCGGAGGGTTATCAGGAATTGAAGAGGAAGCAAGGTTAGAAACGAGAGGGTTGGGATGATTCTGAAGTTTATTATGGAAGGATAGGTATCTGGATTGGCCAGATCGAAACATAGAAACATTAAGGTCATTATGGATGGTTTTATTTGTAACAAAGTAGGGAGCATTGAGGATTTTACGAAGGATTTTGGATTGTAAGGATTGGATACGAGAGGAATTCGATGGTTTAGTGGAGCCCCATAGCTCAACTCCGTAAGTCCAAATAGGCCTTATTATAGTCAAGTATATGAGTCTTTTGTAATTAATTGGAAGTTTAGAGCGTTTGTCTAGTAAGTGCTGAAGTAATCGGAAACGTCGAGCGGTTTCTTGTCGTTTCAGTCTTCCATTTTAAAAAAAAAAAAGTAATGGAGGGCTATTGTCCCATAATGCCTGCCAATCCTGGTTTATTGCCTCGTTCAAGGGTCGCGCCAGTTCGGACGCAGTCAAGAAGGCTTTACCACGTCCTGGAAGGGCAAGAGCTTCTTTTGCTGCTCTGTCAGCCATTTCATTACCACCAAGGACCAGATGATCATAAAAATGCACTACTAGCCCTCTAAATAAATTAAAGGCGATCAAAAAGGAAGTGAAGCCATGGAGCAGTTCCAGTCGTAGTAAACGCAAAGAGGAAGTGGTCCTTACACGAGTAAGAATAGAATACCAGGTTTACGCATCTTCACTTAATTACGAAAGAAAACCCGCCCATTTGTCGGAAGTGTGGAGAGAGAATGACAGTGGTCCATATCTTCGAGAGTTGTGCCTTTTACATTAGACAATTAAACATAAGGGAATACCAGCAAATACACCGGCTGCTTTGGGAAATGATGAAAAAATCCTAGGCAAAATCATATGTTTTCTCTCCGAAGAAGGAATCTTAAAAAATATCTGAACCTCTCACGCAGCACTCCCACCTCTTTTTTCCTCTTTTTTTTCCTTTTTTTTTTTTACCTAACGTGCGAACTTTAAATAACTAAACTTTAATAACAATAAACAACTTTTAACCTTAACGTGCATTTTACATTTTTTTTAATTTTATCCAATTCTTAATATTCATAACCAAAAGATATAATAATATATAATTTTAATTAACGGCGTTGATGACCAACAGGTTTTACACCTTTACTATGCCAAAAAGTAATGATTTTATTTTTTTGTATTGTTTTTAAGGAATTGAATGATGACATTAATATAAATCTTATTCAACCACAAGAAGAAATATCTCAAAGTGAATGCAAAAAAGTAACGTATGTTACTGTCCCCAAGGTGAGGGCGCGAAGATCTTCATGTTTTGAATTCATTAATTTTTAAACAATGGGGAATTTTAGTGTTATATGATGGTATTTTGAATTATAGATACCTCTTTTAGTTGCCTCAATTACTTTGTTTGTGGAGTAGGAAAATTCGTTTGTGTCCACAATTTGGAGAAAAATTCGTAGCAAATGTTTTTAATGCATGTTTGTACCTAATTAAATATAAGAAGTTGGCTCCCTCCAGATTGAAAACGCTCCGATTCCAAGAGATTTCGTAAATAAAATAGTTCTAAATAAAATAAAATAGATTAAAAATACGTATAAAAATAAAATACGTAATAAAA